CAAGCTCGGGGTGTCAAGATCAAGTCAAGGAGCAGCTTCAGAAACCCAAGCAGCACGAATGACCCAGAACAGAGCATGGGAGGAGAAAATGGAACATGGGCTTGTTTGACCCAAAAAGAGAAGACAAAGGGGAGGACAAGTTCACATCATAGAATGCTTCTGAAAGGAAGAATTCATTTGTTCACATGTTCCTGACCAATTCAGTCACCTCTTGTGCCTCAGTTTCTCCACCGTGCACTGGGTGGTTATTGCTTCACGAAGACTCGTGAGCTCTGTACTGAAATGTGGTGGCGTCCTGAGCACCCCCGGCACAGATGCACGAGGAACGTGTCAGGGTTGGGCTGCTCCCTGGTACCACAGCCTCTGTGCCCCCTGCATCGCCATCAGTGTCGGGACCAAGAGGGGACGTGTGTCAAAATGAGACATCGGTAAAAACGTCTCAGCTGCAGCATTAGTGCATTGATTTTGGTTTTCACGTCTTTTGAAACAGAATCGTCTCAAGCAGAAACATTTCATTAGGTGGTGCTTTCCATTAGAATGTACACCTGGAAAACTCCATCCCAAACAAGGACTCGTTTTAGGACTGCATGCAGGACCTTGATTTTCACATGCGTCTTGTGGCTCCTAAAAGGTACCTGGAAAGCGGCAGTGCTTTTGGCACTGTTTTCGGCACTGTTTGTTTTCAGCAGTGTTTTTGGCACTGTTTTCAACAGTGCTTTTTCGGCAGTGCTTTCGGCAGTGCTTTGCTTTTGACAGTGCTTTCAGCAGTGTTTTCAGCAGTGGTTTTGGCAGTGTTTTTGGCACTGTTTTCGGCACTGTTTTTTGCAGTGCTTTTGGCAGTGTTTTCAGCAGTGTTTTTTGGCAGTGCCCACGCTGTCTCCATTCCCTCCCCTGCCCGACAGCAGTGTTCACCGTAGCGGTGTTCACCATCCCTAGCGGTGTTCACCATCCCCAGCGGTGTTCACCATCTCTAGCGGTGTTCACCATTACCAGCGGTGTTCACCATCCCTAGCGCTGTGGTGTGACCCTTCAAACACGGAGTCCCTCAGACGCTCAGAGCAGCCCTTGCCCCGCTCCCCTGCCTGCTCCAGAGCCGCCCCAGGAGCTGGGGATGCTCTGCCCATGGCCAGGGATGCTCTGCCCATGGCCAGGGATGGGAACGCTCCCATTGGG